ATTTTAGTTATATAATAATATGTATGTTGAATGTCACCCATATGTTAATTATCAAATATATGTATGTTGAATGTCACTCACAAATTAACTATAAATTATATGTATGTTGAATGTCACTCACATGTTAGTTATATGATGTATGTATATTGAATGTCACATATTAGTTATATATGTGTATGTTTGATGTCACTCACATTTCAGGTATATAATGCATGTATGATGAATGTCACTCACATATAAGGTACATATACTGTATACATGTTAACACTGATTGTCACTCACATGCAATGTATATTTATTTGAAATATCACTCCAATTAAGGTATATGCATGTTGAATGTCACTCACATGTAAGGTATATATATTTGTAATGATTCACTCAAATGTAAGGTACATGCATGTTGAATATCACTCAAATATAAGGTCAAATAAATAGTATAATGACACTGGTATTTGTCTGCACAGTTCACTACTAAGTCAGTATTTATTTTATAAAAATTTACCTAAATATGACAAATGGTTTTATCCAGAATAAAAGACGAACAAGTCCATTTTAGCTTTTTAGTGGGGTTAGGGTTAAAACAAATCTTATAAATCAGGATACCTATAAAAACAGTAAATCAATTATGTCTTTTTTTTCTCATAGATTTGACAGATAACAATCATGTTATTCTACAGTCAAGCCAGTCAATTTCTACCTTTTTCAGCATAGCTTTGTATTAAAGAAACTGCCGTTAAAATCTTTTTGCCATAAATTGCCCTTACGGCAATCTAAAACCTGTCAACTTGAAAGGGGATATTTCTTCTTTATTGTAGCTATTGATTCTATACCGTTTTGTATTTCTTTATTTCCAGTACGTTACATTAACTTATTAAAATAGACGTTTTATTTGACGTGACAACATCTGACCTTGCAAGGTCACTATCCAGTTGCAAAATCGGCGATAGCCGTGTCGATAAATCATTGAGATTCCATAGTTTATCATAGTGTAAATGTCAAGCGACGGGTATTGAATGATTTATTTGTGTAATCAATATGTAATTAATAATAAAATTCATTACAAAGAAGGTCTTTGGCTGACAGGCTAATTGTCCATGCTAAGGCCCCTTGGAAATCGAAAAATCCTTTCATTGGACATTTTTTCGAAACACGCAGCGCAGAAGGTCAAGAACCTCGCAATTAATCTAAACGTAATTTCTTACTTTTTAACATGATTATCTCCGGCAGATAAAGTGAGAATTATGTATGTTTCTACTTAATTGAAAATTTTTAAAATGGCATATTAACCTATATAAAACATTAAAGATTGCAAAATCTATAATCTTGAAGACAATCAATATTACATTAGTCAACAATGAAATTACGAAGCCGTAAGTGACAGTGGCCATGCCAAATTACAAATTAACCTGTAAAATGCCAAGTCACAGTTGAAATTATCAAGTCAAAATGCAAAATTACTGTGGTAAATTTCCAGTCAACATGGAAATCAGGCTGTAGCCAAAATTGCCATGTCACAACAGAAAATGTCAAGTAACAATGGAAATTACGAAGTCAGAGACTAAAAAAATTCAGGTTACAATTTCTCTTGCCTTTTAGTCTAAGTGAAAAAATACTAAATCATTTAGAAAATGCTTGTAAGTCCATTTAGAAAATGTCTTTTATTAAGTTAAAGTAGAAAATGCAAAAATGTTACAGTAGAAATGCCATTTAAATAACAGTCAAAAATGTCAATTAAGTCACAGTAGAAAGTCCAAATTAAGTCACAAAAGAAAATGCCAATGAAATCACAGTAGAAAATGCCAATTAATTAAGTCACAACAGAAAATGTCAATTAAATGCCTTAAATTCTGAGTAGATCTGTAATAATCACCACTGATAACGTTCAAAATTTCAAACAGTCTCAAGAGTCTTTTTAGACATGAAAAACTTGCAAACTTGTCAATTTTTCATTTCATTAAAACAAAGAAACTTTTGATTATTCATGATTCACATGCATAATTTTTCTTAAAATCATCGTGCACATTTTTTTCAATACAAAACTCCTACATGTCAATTAATCAACCGTCTCAAGTAGTCGGAGACTTCAAGCCAACATCTCTTTTATTTCACGACCCCATATCATAACATTAATAAAACCATTAGTGTTTATGACAACAAATCTTTATAAATTATACAACATTTTTATCAGGACGGTGACTCATTTCTACGGAAGACATCAAAGTGCTCGTAAATCATCTTATAATTGTAGTAAGTATCTTATGTAGCTGTAGTCATCTTTTCAACGACTGACTAAATTTAAGAAAGGAGATAAATGGGTAAAATATAGCAGGGTAACAGGGACTGAGACTCACATCGAAGTGTACAGGATTACTCTCTCGCGGATTGAAGTACTAGGTAATAGCTGTCGACAGCAATGACAGGTTTTACACCTGTAAGGCTACATAGATATAGGAAGTCACATGTTAAATTATCACTGTTCATGTTAAAAATCCTGTAACACAAATTTTTTATGGTTTTATATCATAAATGATTCTAAAGCTACAGTCTCACTAACATCCCGGCAGAGCCCCGGCAGAGCCCCGGTAGACGTCCGGGGTGATCCGGGAACGACCGGGGTACGACCGGGAACAACCGGGGTACATCCGTAACTCTGCCGGCAACGTCCTGGATGATCCGGGATGATCCGGGAACATCCGGCATTCGACCCCGGATGGAATAAAATATTTGATATCACCGGGATGATCCGGGAAGGTATAGCTTTGCGGGCTTCATCCTTAACTCTGCCGGGAACGACCGGGGTTATACCGGGAAAGCACCGTAGCTCTGCCGGCACAAACCGGGGATGATCCGGGGTATGATATTGCCGGTAGAGCTACGGTAGAGCTACGGTAGAGCCCCGGTATATGCCGGCAGAGCCCCGGTAACTACAGGCAGAGCCCCGGAGGATAAAGGTAGAGCTACGGTTGATCCCGGTAGAGCCCCGGCAAAGCCCGGATCATTTCAAAAGAATAAGGACAATTTGCGATGATTGAACTTGCTTGTATTAAAAGCCTTCCCATTTCCCTTCTATCCAGTATGGCATAAGGATTTTTCAGAAAATCATCATGAATTACTATTCTGGAACAATAGATATTATATTAAATAAAAATTATGTATCAAAGTTATCATTTTCGGGCGTTTTCAATCCACCGGGGTTCTACCGGGGCTCTGCCTGGATCGTCCTGGGCTCTGCCGGGGCTCTGCCTGGATCGACCGGGGCTCTGCCTGGGTCAACCGGGGCTCTTCCGGCGTCATCCGGGAACGACTGGGGAAGCACCGGTATGAACCGTAGCTTCACCTGGGCTCTGCCTGGATGATCCGGAGCGCATCCTGGATGGATAGTAGGGAACTACCGTAGTGCTGCCGGGGTAAGTGTGACCGCAACAATAATTTCATCCCGGATCGTCCCGGATCATCCCGGTAACTTACCGGGATGTTCCTGGGCTCTGCCGGGAGTAAGTGAGACCGAGGCTTTATGCTTAAATTAAGATTTATCAATATTGTAAGTTCCAAAAAGCATTATTTATAAAAAATATTACTGAATTTAACATTTCATGTTAATAAAAGGAGGCACTAAAAAAAATATTTTTTTTAAAGTCTAAGTCAATTTTTAATAAGAACTGAATGTATATATTTTAATGATAAAATATAATATGGACAAATATTTGCAGAACATATTTTACATATTCTTCCATGTTTGAAAATTGTTTTATAAGCATAATAAAATACATATATAAAATTTCATTTAAGTGTGGTAACAACCTCAATTACAACATACAGGATCTTTAAATGATCACTTAATTATTTAAATGACCACTTATCATGTTAAAAGATAATATATTATGTTAAATCATCAATATCCATGTTTATTGATAGCTAATCATGTTAAATCATACATATGAACTTTTTTTGATGATCAAGAGGGAGATTTTTCTTCAATAAGAAAGAAATTTTAGAATTTGCAATAAACAAAGAAGGAATTTCTGACATTCAAAATAGGGAGATTTCTTTAATTTGTGAAAATACCCCTTATTTTAAAAAAATTCTTAGAAAATATGTCTGCAGAAAGCGGGAGTCTCCCGCTTAAAGTGGGAGAGTTCACATGTATGTGTTAAATGTTCACTTATCATATTAAAAGATCACTTATCATGCCAAATGATCACTTATCAAGTTAAACGATCACTGATCATGATTCATTGATCACAAATTCTTGTAACACATTTAGTTTACATTTGGTAGCAATTAAACTAAACTATATAATAAACCGAAGTTCTAAATATCGCCATGTTTTTTGTATAAAATGCATTTAGATTTCAAAACAATTGTCAACTTGAAAATAATTGGACAAAATATGCCAATCATTTTTTTTTTTTAAATATTTTTCTTCAGGAATAACACAGACAGACCTTACTTCATTCTTACCTATATCATAAAAATATTTATATGGGGGGGGGGTAATTTATCTATTTTACTTATTTTCATAACTAACAACAAACAATCTACCTTCTGAATTAGAATTTAATTGTCACCTTAGTGCAGTTACAGTTATAATTTGATAGGAGTTAACCCATTTAAAACTGTTCTAAGGTGAGGAAATTAAATCAATTATTTTAGACTAAGGAATATTGAGTAACTAGAATCAGATCCGACTCAATTAAAAGAAATGTTAAAACAAGAACTGTCGGAGGAAAGTAACACTCGACTATTCGAAAAGTTGTCACAAAGTGTGTTTCATTGAGTATAATAATGCTTACCTATATGAATACATAAAATTGTCCGAAAAGGTACAAAGGCTTGTTATTAAGATGTTTTATCAAGTTAATCACTGCTTTATTATTATAAAATGCATAAAATTGTTCAAAAAAAGGCACACGTAACATATCAAGACAGTTCTGATTAAAAAGAACAAGTGTACCATACAAACATTGCAGAGAAAGAAAGAGAGATTCGTTTAAACTTACAAGTCCGTTACAAATGGAGAAAGCAGCTGGAGCGTTGTCATGGGACACCACTTCTCCTTTGTATAAACAATCTGTATCGGTGATGTCATCAGTGATGTCATCATTGCTGCCTGTGACATCATCATCGCTCCAGTTACCATGACGATGATAGACTTTGAAGCTTGAAGCTAGCAAGTCTTTATTTGGCGTAAGCTTGATATGGTACGAGTCTTGATGCGTGCTGATGTTGATGAATATTTCAGACGTTATGCTACGTCGTTGTCGAATGTGCGATAAAAGATGCGATGCAGAACTAACCACACTGTCATGTTGAAAGACTTTGGGTGAAACTATTTCAAACTCTGAAATGAATAACAAAAAATGTTTCTTAGCATAATGTCATAAGACTGATTTTTTTCTAGGTTTTTATTTTCTTTAAAAATGTTTGAGCTGATAATCAATCAATTAAAAAGAATTAATCAATTATTGCCAATAGTTAAGAGGCAAGATTAAGGATGCATATATTCAAAACTAAATTAAATGTCACACAATTTATAACTGTATGATGTTATAAGAATATGGGGGGGGGGCAAACAAATTGGGGGGGGCTAACATACCGAGCAGGGGCAAATGTCCGCTTACCTTTGAGAAAAATTACTTTATTTAAAGGAATTCTGATATAACGTTTCATATGCTCAGGTAGACATTATGTTGAAAACAATAATAATAAGCAACTCTAAATTGATTTGAACCCACAATGATCAGAGATAAAAAAGATTCATAGAGTGAAAATGCAACACCTTGACACTGACAGCCAAGGTCAGACTCCACAACAGTTAAATACACAGATTATTATTAATAACTCAGAGTAGGTGATCTTAAGTCTGTCACTCAATTTTCTATTTCAAATTAACAAAATTATTCTATATTAATATTTTGATAAACAAATGCATTACTTAACTAAAATAATTTTACTTAAACAAGTTATGTGTCTAACAAGTTACAGACATCATATCAAATACATATGTACTGACTTGATAGAATACAAAATACAATGTAACACCTTTTTTGCATCAAAGGTCAGTTTCATGTAATTAAATTACTTTGATACAATTATGTTACCATAAAAGCTCAAATTTACAACTATATTACATAACATCTTCAGATATTCCAGTTACATTACATCAAAGTGGTTGGGGAAAAAAATTCCTCTGACACTGGTTTACTGTTAATCATTTCATCTTTTATAACACCAAAAGGCAGACAAATAACATCATATTTTTATTTTCTTAATTACTTGTCACCAGATCATTTTCCAAACTTAACACTGGTGTTTTCACACCAGATTAAACACATACAAAAGAACAGACAGACGGTTTTCTGTGAAATATTTATGATATTCACTAACCTTGTCTCATTAACAAATCAAATTGTAACTTTATCATGTTACTAGAACATGTTCTGAAGTTTTTGAGATCATTTAATAACAATCAAGTGTGCTGTGATTGCAGAGGCTGCACTTGATTCACTAGGTCATTAGGTTTTCTTGATAAAATATTTTTTTACAAGCAGACAAGACATGGAAACATGCATCGTTGGCAACAGATCTGTGTAAATCAAATTTAAAGCAAAAAATAACCAAAAAACAAGGCAATGAATTTCTGATCCACATTTCAAGGACATGGGAGAAGTGATAGTAAAGCAGAAATTAAAATAAACAGTGAGTTCATGAGAATAAAGCAAACAAACAAAATGAAATGAACAAGTAAATAAATAAATATTTACAAACAAACAAATAAATAAATAAAACAAGAATATGTAAGTAAGGGAGCGTGTGTGCTGCGTAAAGTACAGCTGTTAAAGTTAGTGAGCTTAAGTACCGTAAGTAAGTGTGACCTTGAAATTTCTTGCAAAGGGTATAGTATACTAGAAAAATTATTTTAAATACATGCATGTATTAATGCATTAATAAGTCAATTGTCACCACATCACCTTCACCCCTGGGGTAAATTTTAGATTTACAAATCCCTCTGGTAAAGACCCAACCGTGAGGAATCTATGAGCCAGACAGTGAAAACCCCACTACAATAGAGTATTAGAAAAAAGGAATCCATAAAGAACGTCCAAAAGGACAAAATTGAAAATGTGGCAGGATTGGGCTCTGAAAGTTTGATTGATCCTGTTCATGGACGATACTGAAAAGTGCAATTTACCGTCCACGTCCCCTAGCACCGCCTTTAAAAGCCTTGACACAGTAAATTTCGACATATACTCAGCCATCTTAGTGTCAAAATAACAGCAATGCATTGATCTGGCAGACTGATATGGCAGACAAAAGGTAAAAGCTTAGCATATTAAACCCCATCACCTAAGCTTATTCCTGCCTTTTCCTACAGGATGGGTGGGCTGTGGTCATCACAGCTCACAGACCTGAATCATTTTTACCTTTACTTTGATTTGTACATCAAAGCACAAGAATAAAGCATTAAAGTTGCATGATATGTTAGAGTAAAAAGAATTTCATATCCATTTAAAAATCAATTTTCTTCAGAAACATGGCCTTTTTGTAATCATTAGAATTAAAAAATGCAAGCTTTTTGCATTAAACTCTTAAAGCCCAAAAATTTCATGCCCATGACTCAATCAGATAAAAAAAAAATTATATATCATAAATACACAATTTGCTCACATATCAACTAATATATCACTACTTAAAACTTGAGGTAGATGCTCAAAAGAGTTTTTTGTGTAGCGAAAAATTAACCGCAAATATGAGTGATTATACCAGCAGCATCTTTTTAAGTAATTTTTTGTGGGTAACCGCAATACTGCAACCCGCCTTTAATAATATACGAAATATAAATTTTATAACATCAAAAAAATCTCTTATCAATAATAATTCTGGCGTGAATTTCTTCTTATTTGAGTCACTGACAGAATGGAAGAAAAAATATGGTAAGAAAATACCAAAATTTCTGTATGAGTTTTAAAGATAAGCATTGTTTTTTGTCACATCACATTACAAATAACGGCATTTTCAGACAGGAATGTCAACATAAAAATTCTTTAATATTTAACACCACTTTAAAAGTGCACTTTAAAAGTGGTGACCGTGAACATGCGGTTAAGGTTGTTGACTTCAATCAAACTGCCCCTCACCGTTCGCTAAGGGTTCAAATCCCAACAGGGACTTAAGATTCTTTCATGAGATGAATATTTTCAGCAACCTTATAGAATGTCGCTGGTTTTAGTTGGATGCCCATTCAAGCCTGAAATTTGGCCAATAGGGCACCAGAGAGTCACTCTCCCTACCCCAGTAAAACTGGAAACGTTGCTATAAGTCACCATGACAGTGTTGGTACACGTGCGATGTAAACTCAAAAAAAAAATGTGCAAATAAACCTACTTTACCCTTAACCATGCTAAATTTGTATAATGGACTTGCTCTTCTTTGCATTTAAAACTCGCTAGCCCTGACCACCCTAAATATCTTTAATGAACTTGTCCATCTTTCAATCTGGACAAAACCATTCATTATTTTCAAGGAAAATATATCAAATATACACTAAAATAGTAAACAGTGCAGACCATGATCAGACAGCACTGAAACTGGTCACTACACTGAATTGCAGGTCTAAGCCTGGCTCTTTATTGCTGCCATAGGCAAGTCATAATCCATTACGCCTCGCAACCTGCAATTTCATTAGGTTAACAAGATGTGCAAATAATGAATATAATATTTCAAAGGTGTATTCATAAAATTGTTATCTCTTAACAAAAATATGTTAAGCACATTACAGGGTGCTGTGATTCATTTATTAAGTATTCATTTATTGGTAATTTATAAAATAGCAAGTCTTTATGCTTATTACACTATACAAACAAAAATACCAAAGATAAACTGGAATGAGCAAAATTTTTAAAATATGACTCCTACATCTTTTAACACTGTTTAAAGGAGCATGATTCACCCAGATTCATCGTTTTAATTTTCATAAATTTTAAAGGAACTCCACCGAGGTTCAAATTTTTTTAGCCTCAAAGCATAAAATTTGATTTTCTTACATAGGTATCTGCTGAGGAATTAAAAAGATAGCAGACAGAGATATAAAAGATAATTAAGAATAACTGAAATATTTGGGGGTTGTTTTTTTTTTGCTATTCTGAGCCCAATTTGACCATTGGGTCAATTTTTTTTACTATTCTGAGCCCAATTGAGCATTGGGTCATTTTTATTTTTTTGCCTATTCTAAGCCCAATTTGAGCTTTCGTCATTTTCTTTTCTTTGCTATTCTTAGCCCAATTTAAGCTTTGGGTGATCTGGTAATATTTTCTTATTTCATCATGATTTATCTCCCTTTTTTTCAACATTTTAATGCTAAGAAAATAAGTGATTTTGCCATTGTCATTTCGTTTTAGTTTTACTGTTTAATTTTACATTATGATCTATCATGATTCCTCTCCTCTTTTTTAGGTTTTTTTTTCCGGACTTTCCAGAATTGATATAACTTAAAATACAATAATTATGTACAGCATGTTCTCTTGGCAGATTTCTGGTCAGAATGCAAAAACCAATTATCAAAACATAAACTGAACTGTTCACAGTAATTATCATTCATAGACTATAAACAGTAATTATTAATTACACCTAATTTATCACTTGTAATTTACTTGTAATTTACAACATGTAAACAGTATCATAGGTGTTATGTTTTTTCTTCAATCAATCATACATTAGGTAGCATGATATAGAGCTATCTGGTATTATTATATAATGATGACAAGTATGAACTTTTCTATACTCTCTAATATATTATACTTTATTCTTATTATATTTATTACGTATTAAAGGCCCATTATGCTTCAGAAATGCTTTAATTTTTATTTCTGAAAACCTTTTTAATTTTGGTTAACTTTTAGGGTCCGAAAAGTTACTGATTGGCCATTTTTTTTATCTCTTACTTTTTGGCAATAATAAATAAATTACAGGTATAGTGAATAAGTATTTTGTATTGAAGTCAAAACACTACTTTGTTTACATTTTGTTACTTTTATGACAAATTATTCACAAACATCGCTACTTTCTTCAGGAAACAACATTCACTAAAACCATAATGGCATTATTTAAACATTTGTCATTTATACAGAAGAAAAATTTATTTGTTTCTGAGGCATAATGTGCCTTTAACAGAGAGAGTTTTTTTTAAAAAAAAAAGGCTTTTAAGCTGCATCACCTACTCGTTCTGTAAAATTTACTTTATGTACTTGATTATGTAAATGAAAAGATTACAAATAAAATATTGTTTAACTAAATATTATGTAAAATTGAAATCTATTGAGGGTGTTTGGGCCTAAGCAAAGA